CAGCTTGGGGGTCTTGGGGGGCCGCATGGGGACTTGGGGGGCAGTGACGATGTGGGGCAGGGAGGTGAAGATGTGGGGCGACCCCTGGGTGTCCGCCCCCCAAGTGATTCGAGCCGTGGGGCTGGTGGGGACGTGGGGATGGGGGGTTCCTGGAGATACCCAATGTTGACGATGACTCCGATGCCAACTTGGGGGGCAGTGACGCTGTGGGGCAGGGGTGATGATGTGGGGAAGGGGTGATGATGTGGGGCAGAGGTGGTGATGTGGGGCAACCCCTGGGTGTCCGCCCCCCAAGTGATTTGAGCCGTGGGGCTGGTGGGGACGTGGGGATGGGGGGTTCCTGGAGAGACCCCACATGGTCAACAACTCCAAGGTCAACTTGGGGGTCTAGGGGTCACCCCATGGGGACTTGGGGGGCAGGGACGATGTGGGGCAGGGAGGTGAGGATGTGGGGCGACCCCTGGGTGTCCGCCCCCCAAGTGATTCGAGCCGTGGGGCTGGTGGGGACGTGGGGATGGGAGGTTCCTGGAGAGACCCAACATTGACGACGACTCCGCTGCCAACTTGGGGGTCCAGTTGGGGGTCAATGTGGGGCAGCGACGCTGTGGGGCGGGAGGGGAAGATGTGGGGCGACCCCTGGGTGTCCGCCCCCCAAGTGATTCGAGCCGTGGGGCTGGTGGGGACGTGGGGATGGGGGGTTCCTGGAGAGACCCCACGTTGACGATGACTTTGATGCCAACTTGGGGGTCCGGTTGGGGGTCAATGTGGGGCAGCGACGCTGTGGGGCGGGAGGGGAAGATGTGGGGCGACCCCTGGGTGTCCGCCCCCCAAGTGATTCGAGCCGTGGGGCTGGTGGGGACGTGGGGATGGGGGGTTCCTGGAGAGACCCCACGTTGACGATGACTTTGATGCCAACTTGGGGGTCCCGTTGGGGGTCAATGTGGGGCAGCGACGATGTGGGGCAGGGGGTGAAGATGTGGGGCGACCCCTGGGTGTCCGCCCCCCAAGTGATTCGAGCCGTGGGGCTGGTGGGGACGTGGGGATGGGGGGTTCCTGGAGAGACCCAACGTTGACGACGACTTTGATGCCAACTTGGGGGTCAATGTGGGTCAATGACGCCGTGGGGTGGGGAGAGGCGCCCCCCAGCCCCACATCCTGCCCCACAGAAGTTCGAGGCGGAGCTGTACCGCTTGGCCACGCCCTGTCTGTGCGCCATCGCGGGGGCCCTGCCCCCCGACTACGTGGACGCCACCTTCTCCCCCCGAACCCAAAAAGCCGCCGCCGTCGACGCCGAAGGGAACTTCGACCCCAAACCCGTCGAGACCCTCAAGTAAGGGGGCAGGAGATGTGGGGCGGGGACCCCCATGGGGGGCAGGAGATGTGGGGC